AGGGCAGTTAATGTTCCTCCAAGGACTCCAAGAGAACAAATGTTGGTCCTGTACCTGGAAGGAGTGCTCCCTCAAGTGGCAAAAAAGGTGTAACAGTGACGGCATTTTCAAAACAGCAGTTCTCTTTGCCTGCCCAATTGTGGGACAAGCACTGTGAAGGGGATCACGCTGTTGTGGGGGAGGAGGGAAGATTGTAAGAACAAGAAAGAGGGGCTCAGTGCCTCATCCATTGGGGGTCCTAAGACTTCACAACTTTCCTACTTTAAAGTCATTGACAAAAGAGGCTGCCATCCAAGGCCCACTTAACCCGGAAATAAGCTCTATTTGGCACGCATAGAACTGGACTGTAGGTGGCCATAGGCAAACCAGTTTCCTCTGCTGCACTCTTCTCCTGCCACATGGAATACTCAATACTGTAACTTGCAGAAGTTACTTTTTAAAACGACAGATCCCAGAATCCTGGCGTCCACCTGTTTCCAAGTTCTGCTTAGTACCGGCCAAAACATCAACAAGCAATGTCACTGAAATGATATGTGTGTGGAGCATTTTGTAGACCTTGCAACATGCCGTAAACAGACTGAAGGATTTTGGCGCCTGGGGTAAAACACGCAAATGCTGTGCTCCACCTGACATTAACGCAGGGTGCGTGCTCTGGGGCAGGCCTCCTTGAAACAAACGGGAGCGGCACAAGGTCAGAGTGGCACAGCTGACCATTGGGGTCGAGACTTCATGAATCACTGGCCTATCTTTTTTCCAGCTGCCCACCTCCACTGAACATCGACTGCCTCAGGCAGCTGCCTTTCCCCTTTTTCTAATTTCTTCTGGCTACATCCACATTATTTTATTTCTTGATTGCTGATTACCCTTCTCACGTCAGGTGTGAACAAACTGTAAGGTTCCGATTCTGCAACTCCTCAATCCATCTCCAATTCATGACAACTCTGAAGCCAACACCATGCATTTCGAGATTTTCCCCTATTAATCCTAGAGGAGAAAACTAGGCAACACAGGGGGGAAAGGCAGATCAAAAGTGATCTCTATCAGAAAACCATCTCATCTGGAGCAGAGGCTGATCGCTGCCCCTTGGGATGATTGATGTCTTAGAAACAGACAAACTGATGGATGGCTCAGCCTGGAGAGATCACTCTGATGGAGAAAGGAACGAGAAATTAAAATTTCAACACAGCCCTCTCTGAATTATTTTATTTTGGATGTGTGTACTTCTCTTCCTATTCATTATCAGGTTTCTGGGCAAAGGGGGTCAGGTTCCCTTCCCCAGCATACAAGCTCTGTATCTCTAGCAAATGTCTGTCTTCAGGGAAGCCACGTCATACCGTCTCCAAGGCAACTGCTGCTAGTGCAATAACATCAGGGCTTTACCATGGTGATGCTCCATGAAAATCAAGGGAAGGCTACTCCAAAGTAAATATGGCTCAGGGGAAGTGAGCAGAAACAGGAAAGTGCAGTATTAAAAAGTGGCTAATAAAGAAGGTCTAGCAAGGTTGAGAGAGGAAGGAATCAAGATGCCCCTTTCCTGGCCGAAGAGCAGAATTGTGTGGTCCTCTTTTGTTGTCAGAGAGCTACCCACTGTGGCCAAGGCATTTTCCAGAAAACAAACCAACTCTAACCACAAAAGAACCTCTTAAAATTATCTTTAAAAAGGGCTGACTACTAAGAAGCTATTAAGACAGATAT